CCCTCACCTCACCTCACCCCTAAAGATACGTTAACCAATTATATTTACCTTGATGAATACGAGTCTATTTAAATAATCTTCCTTTTTATTAAGGTTATCATATTTCTCATCGTATGTGCCTTTTTCCATGAATTACATCTATCAATGATATAGATAATGAATATTTTTGAAATCCTAAGAGAAAAAACAATTTTGTGGATCCCTTGACATTATCCCCAAAGCTCATTTGTTGCACTACAATTCAAATTTAAACTATAGCTCAAGATGAGGCAAGATAACAAGTCTGAGGACATATTGCCGAAAGGAAAACAGCAGGCCCAATTTTATCCATTCATTTTTCAAGAATGACCTCTAAGCTTAGAAGATTATTGAATGAGAATGCAAAAGGAACAGCCTGACCTACATTTGGATAATACGGTTCTTCAGTGAAACGTGAAAGGACAGGGGAAGAGAGAGGAAAAAGAAATGGCAAGATTCCTCACAAAATGATAATTATGGCTTCCCAACCTGATATATGACTAACTCAAATAACACGTTAACATCTTAGGCACTGTGGGGTTTGCATGTTCATCTGTGCCTCTGGGTGGAGATGGATGTGACAATAGTTATCTTGAGAAAAAAACATAAAGATGCAGATAATCGGATACTTCAAGACATGTTTATAAAAACCACAAATTCTAAGCTCTCAAAATATAAGCATCAGCTACAAACAAGCTCATAGCAAGTTTATATTTCAATATTGCCCATATATATTATCAATTTTTTGGTAGTATGATAAAAAGTTTAACTTCCATAAGAGCCTCCATAGCCTGGATAAATCAAATAAGAACAGAATTAGTGTTGACAAAGAGGTAAACCTTGTCACTACGAATTTCCCGATTGATGAAATAACGACTAAAATGGACTGGTTTTTGCTTAGATGCGTGCACATAGACAGAGAATCTTCCTTCATGTCCCTGCCAAAATAAATGGGAACAATGTGTAAAAAAATTCAGTAAATTGAATAGTAGAAATTCATATACCATCCATAATTATAGACCATGAGTAGGAATACAAAAGACATTTATGTAACATGTAATATCAAAACTATAGAGACAATAATAATGACCGTAAACATCTGGTAGTTGCATTTTCAAGAATTTGTGTTGCACTTTAATTTGTTAAAAAATGTGCCGTTTCTGTTACCTTAGCCTCTTCGGAAAATCTCATCCTTCCAGTTCATTGAGATCTTACTTTTAGTGGTAACATCAAAATTTCTGAGCCTTTTGTTAACTCATGGAATTAGTATTAATCCCCATCAATTGTTGATAGTGTAGCAAGAGTACCGTCTTAATATAGTACTTATCAAGAAACATGCAGCATCTGACAAATCTTGTTTTCCCATCTCATGCTACGAGCTTCCCAAGGACAAAACTCAAAGACACTTGAGCCAGTGAATTAAAAAGAAAAGGTACATTGTTAAACATGTCAAACTTAGGGAAAAAAAAAAAGGAGCCCTTCCTTAATTTTGCTCCATGTATATGCTTGGTGACATTTTCCTTTGGCCATAATATAACATAAGCAACTGCTATGTCTCAATTACCAATCCTTGGCTTTAATAACGAAAATGGGGATCAAACTTGGAGACTCCTCTGAGGATAGCAGAGGGCTCAGATACGAACACCAAAATGGTTGGCTAAGAAACCAACTCAAGAATAAAATAACCGTCATCAGGAACCAGGTGCAGTTAATACAATCATATAGGAAGAAAAACTGCTAATAAAAACTTTAAATTTGCAAAGCAATGTTCTTATTCTAGTTAAATCTATATTCCATGTTCTTTCTAGCCATCGATGTGGTTTGTCATATAGTCCAGTCAAAATGTTACTCTCTCAATTAGAGGTAACTACGATAATTTTCCATCAACATCATTCCTATTGTCGATATGGATACATCAAGATGAAAATTTAAGGTTAAAATATTTCAGAAATCTTTGAACTTTCATCTACTTCATAGATACATTTAAAAGAGCACTTATACATTGTCAGATAATGAAAAGCATATTGTCTATTTGCATAAAAGCAATCAACAGAAACTCTAGAATCAACACATTGCACACCTGGGTGTTCATTTGATGTGATTTTTCCAACTTGTGCAAACCATAAACACCCCACCCACCAAAACAACAAAAATTAATAAATAGCTACCAAAAGGAAAGTCACATGCACCTCAAGATGACCAAGTACGGTGTGGCTAAGTACTTGTTTCATAGAAATACAAAAAGTAACAGAAGGCATCAACAAGGAAACTAGCTTGGAATGTAAGAAAAGAATTGCCACAAGGCCCATAACAAATTTTGCTTTGTTTAACAAGACCACAAAATTTGAATACAAACACCATCATGAAGTTGAAAATAAGAATGGTTACAACTACTTAAAATGGGTGAATGAGCAAATACACAACTGAAATTTCAATTAGAAACTCTCTTTTGTGAGATGTCCCCTTGCAAAATTTTTGTTCTAAGAAAAGTAGGAAATTCACTACCTGGTTGAAAAAGTTTAACTTTAAACAAACAAACGGCGCACAAATGCACGATTGATAATTGAACATGTTATCTTTTCAAAATGTTTAAAGGAATAAGAATACTTTCCAATCAAAGGACAGTCCAAGACGTATGTAAGCAAATTTCATAATTTTTCATGTGCATCAAGCTTCACTTCAGCCTTCCCAAGGTTGGATGCTCTTGCGAATAAGTCATTGCGTACATCCAGATTTCGTTTTAATAGTTATCCTTTCAATTTTCTTTCTACCCAGGAAGAAAAATTAGGAAACTTATGGTGAGCCTAGTCCTGGTCCCTAGTCCTGCCCAAACTCAAGGAAAACATTGTGCTGCCTTCAGAATTCCAAATACGACCTAATACGTAATCGATCATTGGTCAAGAAGCTATATACTACATGGATCACTCTTGCCCAATAACAACATTGATGCATGCATAAAGTTTCCATCAGAAATTATATTCATTCACTCAAAAACTCCCATCTTGCACAAAAAAAGTTGATTTCATACATTTACGAAAGAAGTAAATGATAGAAAAATAATAATTAGCTAGAAAATGTAAACAGAAGAATCTAAATAACATTAGAGGTTTCAGCACTTGAAGAAAAATGCTACCTGAAAAAAATTGTCCCACAGCTTCTCAAAAGGTAAAGCACCCGGTGTCAGAAATAGGAATGCAATTTTGGAATTCTCTGATAAACTAGGATGCATACTCAGGATATCTCTAATTACAACATGAGATGCAATCTCATCGTCGGTTAGTTCCCTCATAGGAGCAGGTGGAAGCCAATTGGATAATGCCTTACAACCGTGAGAAGAGAATACATAGCACGCAGTGGAATTCTGGGGAGGATAAACATAAGCACAAATTAAGAACAAGATGACTAAAGAAACGAGTACGATAATCCATGTTGGCTTCTTTAAGTTACTGCGGTGGCGAGACGCGGGCAATATTTGCATGTCCTTCATGCCTAGACGCCACATCTGAGCCATTTTCATTTAGAAATGATGCATCACAGATTAATCTCCAAAAGAACTATATCTTTTCCAAAGTTCACGTCAAGACCAAATGCACTTTAATATGATTAACATATCAGCCAAAGATAGATCATCATATCATTGCATTCAGTAAGAATCTGAACCTGCAACGCAAACAAATGTGTAGATGTGACAAACCACCAAATTGCAAAAATATCGGACTCTTAAATTTGCCCAATTTGCAGGTGAAAATAACATTTGAAGCAAATCTATGTCACTAATCAACATAAAAAATGTGATTCCACTTAAACATCTAGGATTCAAAGTCAACAAACAACAAACAACAATCAATCCATGTCGAAATTTCAATCCCACAAATCATCCAGCAAATTTTTCAAGTTAGTAGAATCAAACTCCAAAGAGCAATGAAAAAGTGGGAAAAGGAAAAACATGAGGAAAATCAAAGAGTGACAGCTATGGCACCTGAATCCAAGATCCCAGGTGCTGAGCATTGATTGAATAAAAAATAAAAATAGTACCACGAGAAAGCTCAATTAGAGGATGAAACTTGGCAAAAGCCTAGGCTCTAGGAGATTCAAATTACCTAGGACACCCATCAGAACCCCCAAATCCATAATAAAAATAATTTCAAAAAAATAGTTCCAGCAAAATAGTCAAACCCAACTTGCGCCTGTAAATCAAATCCATAATTTGCAAACCCTTCAAATTACAATTTGAATCTACTCCCACAAAAACTCACACCTGCGCATAAGAATATTAATTTGATTTGAACTATGCTAACGGTACATATATAGGTTCAAAAAGAGGATTATACCCAAACAAACACACAAATAAATGCAACCTCCATTGCATTTAATGAACACCCCCTCCAAAAAAATGAAAAGAAAAAGAAAGAAAAAATCACAAATCAGAACAAAATACCCAATAAAATTCAAATTCTATAAACACCCAAATCCAAATAAAAACCCACAAACAAATCCTTATTGCTGCCAATAATAAATAAACAAAAGCAACATGTAATACCTAATTAGTTGAACAGTGTAAGCTCGAAGGAGATCGAGAATTTGAATCTTGAAATCCAGTGGATCCGCAAATGCGCGTGCACAATTATAGCATGTGTTCAAGATCTAGGGCACATGGAATAATAGAACCAATCAGAGCGGAGCAGAGCGAGATAAGTGTGTGTAATTATATAAATAGAGATGAATATTTGAGTGTTGTGTATGGGAAATTTCAGAGTTGAACGTTAATTGGCTGCGTCCAAACTTTTCAGCCGGCAATTTTTACAAATTCTCAATTATTTAATCATTTCCTAATTGATCAATTTCTTAGCGTGGAATAGAAAGGACGAACCCAAACGCAGGGAGATGCGCGTGGTCAGAGGTCCGTAAAATTAATACCATTTTTGTTTCGGATTAAAATCAGATTTTAATCTAAATCAATGTCAAACAATCAATATTGACCACGTCTTTTCAAGTTTCAACCACACATTTCAAAAATTTCTATCACAATCTACTAAAAATCTAATTTTAATCCCTACCAAACACTCAAAGAGAAATGCTACACTTACACACTTGGTAAACAACCCTCTCACATGTGTGTGGGCCCCACAATGTGAATCTCATTGTGGACTCCACACACATGTGAGAGGATTGTATACCAAATGTGTACAAGTAGCAAATTTGAACACCCAAATCTTGTTTGGTGTGAATTCTTTAGAATTCAATTTTTTCCAAACTTATTTTCAATAACACATTACATCAGAACTCATAATTATATTCATACTTTTTTAACTACACCAAAAAATTACTTTTCACAAAATTTATTTTCAAAAAATCTACATCAAACATGTTCTAAAAATATATTGTTCATTTTTTTCTCGAACACAATTAACTAAATCAGGATTTGATCTTCACCGCTTGATCATATTAGTGAAATAGTATTGATAAATAAAAATTATAATTTGACAATTACCTTACCAGTGCAACGTTTTCTATTATGCACAAACCATGCTTTCAGTCAATTCAACCATCAATTGTTCAACTTGCAATTAAAATCGATCGGTTGATGCCGAGATTTTTGTTTTTATATCAGTGACTATTAGCATAATTAATTCGTTAAGTTCGCGAATGATTCACAATATAAATCTTTCTCAATAAAAACCATAATATTTGACATTAAAGTGAAGTAAATATATATAATTACTCAAAATAAGAACTGATTGGTAAGGATAATAAAAATTGTGGTGTTAATATAATTACCTTAAATTTATATATTATCCCTTGTAACAATTTCCCCGGAGATTCTTCATTTTTTCAACTTTGAAATGAATTGTTAAATTGTGTAGTTACATATTTGACAAGGAGTAATGAACACGACAATAAATAAGTTTTTCACTTTTTATTTGTAACACTGTCGTCTCTCTATGGCTTGAGACGCAAATGAAGTTAACAAGGAAATTGAGGCGAAATTCCATAAGAAAATAATGAGTTGAGTCGCGAGCTCTTCCTTACGGTCATAACGTATCATCAACGATTAACAGAACATCCCATGTGCTATCCTTGCCGAAAGTTCTCCATCCATTAATAGAACATCCCATGAGCACGTGAATTAATTACTTTTTGGGGTTGACCGTTGCCTCTATAGTCAATGCCAAATGTGCACATGCTCGTGCGTGTAGTACAAACACCTTGCCTTGAACCTCATTATCAAAAAATTCAATTTTTAAACTCATTTTCTATTATATATCTTCACAATAAAATATTTTACACCTAAATTCATGATTTTTTTTTATTGTTTAATTGTACATTCTCCAAAGATTGACCATTACAAAATTCACTTTCAACAAAAAAAATGAGGCTCAAACGCAGACTTGACTATTCTCATTTGACAAAACAACATTACTACTACTTTTCATTGCTCTAATGCGAGAAAAGTCTTCCATTATCAATCAAATATATGCCTATATTTGTCTTCTTTTTAAAGAGTTTTCGAGGAAAAATGATTTTTGGAATAGTAACTTTTTTGGATAGTTAAAATGTATAAAAAAATTTGAACTTAGATACAAAATATTTTATTATGTGAGAGTAATGAAGAACCACTAAAATGTTAGAACATCTCGATAAAGAACTACTAAAGTTAAGATAAATTTGAAATAAATTATTAAGCCCCCGTTTGATTTTGCTGAAAAATCAAATTTTTATAATATTTTGGTAAAAATAGATGAAATATTATGTAGTTTAAAAGCTGTAAGTCCTATGAAACATATATTTAAAATAATTGTTTACTTTAACTTAAATTTTTATCAAAATTTTAAGTCATACCAAATCGGGGCTAAGTCTGTATTTACAAACTCCTACCCTCTATGAGTGTTGAAATATATATCCACCGAAATTTTGGAGGGTGACTTTTGACTACAAGGTTAGGTGGACATTGAATTGTATTCGTGTTATAGTCAAATGATGACTTGTATGTAATGATGTGAACTATTTTGATATATATAATAATTAAATTGAAGACTCTAAATTATTTTCTCCACTTCTATATTTCTTGTATACTAATGATAAGTGCATTTTATAAACCCATTCGAACTCCAAATTATGACATTTTGTCGTTCTTTTAATGAGATTATAGCCTAATTTATGATATAATGTGTTATTAGGTGAAATTCGATGGATGATGAAAAATTTGAGAAAAGAATGCAAAATTGGGGGAAAAAGAGGCAAGATCCAAAGTTTGGGGGATTGAAGTGCAAATGCTCAAAAGTTGTGTAGAACCTCACAATGAAGATTCGAGAGTACTAGGAATCAATTGGTAAAGGAAGACGTCAAAAGGATAAAATATCGTCAAAATATGATCACACATCAATTTAAGATTGAAAGAGTTATACATCGATTTTTAGACTCATATTGTGATCCATATTTGACATAGCAAACGATCCATATTTAAGTTGTATTCGTTGTAATTGTACAATATTAGATTAGACCCCGTTTGGTTTATCTAAAAACGTTGATAAAAATTTAAGTCAAAATCAACAATTAATTTTAGTCTATGTTTGCTGCCCATTTTTTAGCTGTAGAAAATGAATTTTGTGATCGTTGGAGCACCAACTTTGAGAATAATATGAGATGAAAGTCAACAATTCCGACAAAGTGGGCCCTACAACGGTAGTGTTGTTTTCTAAAAATGGAGAAAAATGGAAAACAAACATGAGCTTAATAATACATTTCATGGGATCACTACTTTTATCAATATTTCTACTACACATATCATCAACTTTTATCAAAACTTACTAAAAATCTAATTTTTAATTAAACCAAATCGGGACTAAGTTTCTTCCTCCTAAGTTCTATATACTAAACTCAATTTATAGCCTTTTTTTTTCCTAATTATTGAATTAAAAAATAAATAAATTATATTTCTCTTGAAGCTAGGGGTGTAAACGGTCCAGTTTTTGCGGTTTTTGACAAATTTTCAAATCAAACCGTTTTGACCGGTTTGAAAAAAACTCAAACCTAAACCTAACAGTTTGGTCCGGTTTCGCGTATATTTTTTTCTGTTTAGTATCTACTTTTATGCCGTTAATTCAATATATATTTATATCTTACTAGAAATAAATCTAAAACAAACTAAATATATTTACTATAAATTTAAATA